TATTAATCCATGAGTTGTACCCACCACTGTATTAGCCCATGAGCTATACCTATCATTGTATTAATCCATGAGCTATACCCATCATCTTATCAAATGGTTGTTCAGACACAGCATTAGTATGTTCTTCCTAACAAACATCCTCAAATTCCCCCATATGAGTAAACTTTTCCCATATCTTTGAATTCTTATTCCTTCTTGATTAACATTCCAGTACGTTAGTCCATCTCTCCCATCTCCCATCTTCACTAAAAGCAATGAGACTCCACCTGTCACTTTTGGTACTTTGTCTAGAGATTGCTACTAACTACCAGTTTCATCACTCACCAGAAAGTTCAACACTATAAAATGGCCATATCCACCTTCAAGAGCATGTTCCTCATTGCCACCTAAGTCCTCACCAGAGTAGCCTTTACATTCTGTACATGCCGCAGAGCTCTTCAGGCCTTTACCCACTATCCAATTGCAAAGGTGCTGTACCAGCATCCCATTTTTTTTGGCACCGGGATCTTAGTTGGCTCAGGATGCCATAACAAAATATCATACATTAGGTGGTTCAAATAAAAGAAATGTACTTTTCACAGTTCTGGAGGATAAAAGTCCAAAATCAAGGTCCAGCAGGGTTCAGTTCCTGATAAGAGTGTTCCTTCTTATTTGAAGATGGTCTTCATATGGCCTTACCCCTGTACATAGGGAGACTCTGAGAGTTCTCCTTTGCTTTTATAAGCCAGCATTCCTGTTGGATTAAGACCTTACTCCTATGATCTCTAGCAAATCCATTCCTTCACTGGCATTAGAGCCTACTTCCTTGAGACTCTAGCATTCAATGAAGACCAGTGGAGACATCCCACCTCACTGACAGAGCATGGGTGGAACTAGATCCTCTGACCTTCTGTTGGAGGACAGCTTTTGTTGGACTGACTGGACCACAGCCTGGAAGTCACTCTAAAAACCCTATGAGAGAAAGGAAGCATGTGAAGGAGGGGGAGGGAGGGAGGGAAGGAAGGAGAGAGGGAGGGAGAGAGACAGAGAGAGAGAAGGAGGGAGGGAGGGAGGGAGAGAGAGGGGGTTGATCCTATAAGTTCTGTCCCTCTAAAGAACCCTGACTAATGCAAGGGTAGAGTTTCCACATAGTGAATTGAGGGTAGGTGGGGAGAAACAGATGGATACAATTCAATCCCTTGTTATTTTATCTGTTGGTAAATTGGGTATTTTCTTTTGTTCAGTCCTCAAGTTTGTAGCCATTTTTGAATTTATTTCAGTTACTGTATTTTTCTGCTCCATTTTTCTTGAAATGTGTGTGTGTGTGTGTGTGTGTGTGTGTGTGTCTGTCTGTCTGCCTGTCTGTCTGTCCGTCTGTCCATCCTAATATCTTGGTAGACAATTATAAAGCCTGTGCCTCTTTTGGCACCATGGTAGGGGACTTCAATACCACTAGGGAAGGGTAGGATTTGTAGCTCTCCATTCATGCTGCCCTGGCTAGGAAATCCATGAATGTCATGACTACCAGTAGGGTGAGATGACCTCATTACTATGGAGGCAAATTCTGACTGTAAGCCCCACTGATGCCAGTAAGGCTAGAAAGGGATATCTTGTCTCTGGGTAGATTTGGAAGCCTCATCACTTCATATATCCTCCATTGGCATTGGCGAGGAGGGGCAATATTGTTTAAAAGTTTTCTGTCCTGACCTTTTTTTTTTTTTTTTTTTTAGAAAGAACAAGTAGATTTTTCTTGGGCCTTTAAAAATCTACCCCCTTCTTTCTCTCTTCTTCGTCTCTCCCACAACTCTGAAGTTTTGAGTTGTCACTTCTCCAAAATGCAGTTTGTGATATAAGGCAAAAGAAGTGCCAAGAAATCCTGCTGTGGGATCCCTCAGGTTTCTAGGTCCTTGTCCATTTCATCTCTCTCCACCTGTTAGAACCTTCTCGTATTCTCTTACCAAGATTTCCGTCTGTGCTTGAACTGTTAGGGAAAATAGCTACTCCATCTCTCCCTTGCCATTCTTGCATTGGGCACTGACGCGCATGTGGAGTTCTGTGGAGCACAACCTGCAAGTCTTTGGCATACAGATGTTAGTACACAATAGCCAGCTAGAACTGGAATGGTCACTGGTTCTGTAGATAGGCTCCTGTGGGAACTATGCACTGCTTTCTCTAGCTTTGGGGGGACTATACTTTTTCAATTGAAATAGCATCATTTAATTTGTGCATTGCAAACTTGAGAAGGAAAGATAGCTACAACCATGAATATAATAAACTGTAGCGTTAATATTTTTATCTCTGTCTTTACTCCAAGAACATGTAAGAGCCATTGGCAAGTTGAATTTATATGTCACTTGGATTTATTTTTCCCAATTATGTTTTACTTATATATGGCTATCAGTTCATTTGATATACGATATTATAGAGAACCAACAACATTAAGATGACAATTGATATTTGAGACAAGTCACTTCATGTTTGAAGTGTTTCTTTATATATGTATTTTGAAAATGCCGCACCTATTTGAAAGTGGCTAGAACTAGGTAGAGAGTGGATGCAAAAGTGATTTGTAAACTATCAAGTGTTAGGTAATTATTAGTGTAACTAATTAATAAGTGTAAACTATCAAGTGTTAAGTATAGTCCATCCTGTATTCTTTGTGATGGTGTAACTCAATAAAAATAACTGTGAATATAATAGAGTTTTTGTTTCTTCTTT